GGGATTCTCCATATATCCCAGGCTGGCCTCAGAGTCTGTATGTAGCCCAGGCTGGTCAGACTGTCTACAGCGCCCAGTCTTGTCTTGAACTTAGAGTCCTGCTTCCACCCCCAGAGTACTAGGGTTATAGTGATTGCCACAACACCTGACTTCTATCTTCTGACTTAAGCCTTTCAGATGATTTGGGATGGGTGGCTTGGCTTCTACCCTTCTCCTCTCAGAGAACCCTTCCATGAGCCCAAGAATGACCTCAGTGACTAGGCTGGCGTTGATATACCAGAGACATCGCATACTTCTTTTTAATGCTATTTAATGTTTAATTCAGAAATGTGCAGGGTCCCAAAAGCTCACCCGGAAAGTGCAGGGGGCACCTCAGGCGTCACAGGGGTCTACATCAGAAAGGTCACTGCAAATACAATGGAGGCTATTTTTAGTGCTACACTGTCCCGAGTTGTGTCACATGGTACCTGTGCCCCCTTGGCTGTGTCTTCCTTACAGTAAGTCCCAAAGTGATGGTTCTGAGTTCCCTATGTGTCCTCAGAAGCAGGCTGCTGCAGGGCAGGGCTGGTGCCTTTTGTTTTATTTTTAACTGACATTGTATTCCGGGAGGTGCCCCTTGGCTAGATGTCAAAGCTTTGTAAAGACAGGCCCTGGGCAGAGAACAGGCCACCCAGGGCTGGAAACTCTAGAGCTGGGAGTCCAGAGCCTGGGCTGAGCCTGGCTGTGCCAGCTCTGGTGGTTCACCTCCTAAGTCACACCCCGTCCTTGGTTGGTCCTTCCTGTCCACACTTGCAAAGGCAAAGGTGGGACCCTGAGACCATTAAGGTCCTACTTCACAATCTGTGAAGCTGCCCAGGGTTGGGGATGCTGCATCTTGGGGACTCCTTTACCTGCAAGAAGGATATATTCTCCTTACAGAGGTCCTTCAATGTTCCAGCCAAGCTGGAACATTCTACCTGGCCTGGCCAGTCAAGCAGTAGGCAGACCTAATATTACTGTTTTATTTCAATCTTTGGGTCAGGCCAGCTCCCCCTCTCCTCTTCCCCCCTTTCTCAGTCTCTACTCTATAATGTGTCCTGGGATCACCTCCCAAAGAAAGGAACTGACCCTCATTGATAGTAACCTCCCTTCCTCTTTCTTCCGGGTGGGGGGTGGGGGGTTTTCTGGGACTCATGGCACCTGACATGGTCTCCTCACAATCCATTATAAACCCACATACTGAGTGCCAGTGACTACCCAGGAAGTGTCCACTGTCATGTGTGACCACCCAGGAAGTGTCCACCGTCACATGTGACCACCCAGAAAATGTTCACTGTCACATGTCTCCATGAGGAGTGGGAGATGTGGAGAGTCCACAGTGGAGCATCATGGGAAGGATGTAGTATGGTACCTGAGTGATGGAAATCTAGTGGCAGGAAAAGATCCCTGTGGGCAGGTTTGGTAGATGGTGAAAGGTCCACAGACTGAGTGCTGTGTCCCTTTCTGTGCAGCCTTCCCAGTCTACCTCCAGGTTAGAAGCTGTTGCAGTGAGTTCCCAGAAGCCCAGTTGCCCATGCTGGAAGGGACTATGGTGACCTCCTGCAGGATCTCCACGGGATATGTGAGGAAGAGCAGGTTCAGTGAGTCCATCCCCATGTCTCCTGTTGTACAATATGCCCAGGACACTCCACAATATCTCTGCCCCTCGGCTCAGGACAGTGTAGCAAACTGCTGCTTTCTTGTTCTCTTCAAGCATATTCTCTGAGGCCAGGCCCTGCTTCCCATGAGCCTAGGGTGGTGGCAGAATGTACTAGAAAGGGCTCTTCTAGGAGTAAAGATACTTGAATACAATGAGATGAACCAGCTGTGTGGCCTTAGGCAGATGGTTTTCCCTCTCTGAACCTTGGTCTCTCCATCTTCCAAGAGGGAGTTGATTGACATTAGAGCTCCTTACCTTGTCTGGAGAGTCTTCCTTTTTTGTTTGGACACTCTACCCTCTGAAGTGCATTTGCATCCAGAGGCACATTTAGCCTTTTGGGAACACACTGGTCATATTTTGATGGGACTGCTGATGGCCATGGAAGTAGCCTATGGTCTTGGCACAATCCCAAGTCAGGACCCTTTTTGAGTCTCTTTCATTGTATTGTAGAACTAACTTATCTTCCTGCTGGTGGGCTCAACTCTGCATGACTAGAAAGATCTTCAGTCAACACTGTTTCTCCCCCTGGGAGCCACATCTATGACAGTCTGAAGGTAGCTCAAAGTCAGGGGTCCCCTTTGGCTACAGCCACAGCAGCTGGGGATCACTGGGCTCCTGTCAACCAATGGTGATAAAATACTACCTACCAACATGCTTGTTGCTCCACTTCATCCAATCACATCAAAAAGGATGCAGAGCCAAATTTGGATAACTTAGACTCATCTTCCAGGATGTTTCCCAGGAGGAAAAAAAAATGAAAGTATTAAATTAAGCCCCACATCAAACCATCCCTTGCTATTTTTCCAAGTCTTATTTAGTGAGAGTTTTAAGTGGGTATGTGTGTGCAGATGATAGAGATATGCATTGTTTTTGATGGGTTCAGCCAATGCTGACTTTTGACTTTTCATTTTGTCCTAGTACGTTTTGGTGGCACAGAGAACTGTGGGGAAGCCTGGTGAGAGCCAGGAACACTGCTGGGAAACATCACACCAAGCACGTGATGCAGATGAGGTCTTCAGTCAGAAGAGCAGAGCTGACAAAGGGCCAGGTCCCCAGTGGCTTCTTCTCTAGTTCCAGGGTGAGCTCAGCACCCCAGATCTGTGATCTGTGGATAGCCCTGTCTTGGAGGAGAGGAGCTGTCTAGACATTTCTGTATTCTTTTAGATACTGTGTGTGTGATCATCATTGGCCAATGGGCCCTCTGCCCATTTGGCTACTCTTCCCCCAACAACAGCTCCCAAGAGTGTTCTGTGGAACTTCAGCTAGAGAACCACAGATCTGACCTAACCCTGTGATTTCCAGGGAGGCACAGGGACCCAACCACAGTCATAGACAGAGTGAAACCCCCAGGCCTCTGTTCTTAAGAGCATAAAGGAAAAACTGTTTAGTGTTTTGCCTAATAACAGCTATAAAAATGTTAGCTTGGGAGCCAGGGGGCTGAACCAGGAGGATTTTATGTTCAAAGATAGCCTGGACTGCACTGTGAGACCCTGTCTCAAAACAAACAAACAAACAAACACACACACACACACACACACACACACACACTAGCCTGGTGGATAAGATTAATGTAGCTATTTTTGATATGTTTCCAGAATATATCCAGGTATTCCCAGGACGCTGCTATCTGATTCCTGGAGCAGAGCAGCAAGCCTTGGGCCTCTCCAAGGCATCAGCTCTCCTAGTGTGATATAAAGTGAACTAAGGGTGCTCTCTGGACCTTGAGGTCTAGAGAGATGGAGACATGTGCCAATCTGTTGGGGGAGTCAGAGGATGAGAGGGCTCTCACAGGGGCAAGATGCACGTTAGGTTAGATGTTGGGGCTTCTCTGGGAAGTCATTGTCTATGTGCTGCAGTCAGGGGAAGTGTGAGCCTGGCACACAGCAGAGCTCAGCTCAATCCTGGCAGAAGAACACAGCCAGGCACATGTTAGCAGGACTGCAGTGTTGCCTGTACCCACATGAGCCACACCAGCCTCACAGGGCTTCGTCCATCTTACTGTCACTTATTTTTATCCCTTGTACTTTCTCTAGTGGCCTTACAGCCAATACTGAATGACAGTGAAGCTGTGTCACTCCTGAGATGTCTCCCAGGTGTGCTGTGCCAGATTGGCAGTGACGTGGAGGAGGTGAACCCACAGGCCATTTCTGGGTGGATGTCACTCCCACTTCAGTTTGGACTGTCATCCTCATCCTCACCCCCAGTACAGCCACAGTGCTGTCTTCTGTAAGGCTCTGAGGTCTATCACCTCCTTACAGTTCTGGTCCAAGTACCCCTCAACACCAGACCCCATGCCTTGGGGATCTTTGGGGCACTGGCTGCTCAGAGGCCTGTTTCTTTCTGGTTTCGTCTCTGAATGTCTTGTTCACAGCACACTGCCCTCTCTATGGATCCAAGGGCTGAGTCTGCTGACGGATGAGCATGTGGATATGTGGACACACACAGACACCAGGAATGCCCAGCCTCCATCAGTGAGGGTCAGATGTGCAGAGCTAGAACCAGGCAGGCCTAAGGGTCTCCTGCCAAGCTGTGTCAGTGTTTAGTTGACTGTGGAAAGCTGTGGTTCCTCCTGGTGCTGTTGTTCTCTGAAAGGACACCGTACAGTTCTCAGGGTCTCCCTGTTAAGGCTAAGAACTGCATAACTAGAGTGTCCACCAAGAGTCCAGTAGGCCAACTGGGTACTAGCAGGTGGCCCTGCAGCCCAAGTCTCCAGGTATATCATAGGTGACAGCAGGCTTGCTACCATGAGACCTTGACAGGATTTGCTGTAGTGGTCAGGGCTACCTTCTTGGCTAAGAGCTTCTAGAACTGTGGGTACTTCCACAGCATTTGGAAATTCGGTTGGTGGTAACAGAAACTAAGATAGCACATGATCCTCCTGGAAGCCTTGCAGGATGCATGGAGCTTTGAGCAGGTCTCAGTGCCAGAGCTGATTCCCAGGGGTGGCATAGACCAGGACAGGGAGTCTGGGGGAGAAGATGGAAATCTGCAGACTCTGTATTTGGCTATTAGTGACGGTCAGGTCAAAGAGCATTCAGAACCCAGGGTGGAATATCACAGTCTGCAAGGAAGGGAGAAGAACACAGGAACACTAACCCAGCCTGCCAAGATGGGCTGTGCCCTGTATCTGGCAATGAGCTGGGGAAAGGACAAGGGATATGCCCAGGATCACACCCATGGTGGCATGGCCTGGCACCTTTCCTGCTTTGGAAGTCAGTCAGTATTGTGAGGACACACCCACAGATGGTCCACAGGAGAGGAGAGGTTCAGGAGCTTGTCTCAGTTGTGGGATGGATTGAACTTACTGTGCATTCCTAAGGAGTTACACATAGCGGATGGGGGAGGCCAGGCCCTCGGGGACCAGGTCATCTACATCACTCAGGAGCTCCCTTTCGCTGGCTGAGTTTGTGTTCTGAAGACGCCGGAGGCGGGCCTGGATCTGCTCCTGCTCTCGCTTCAGCTCCAGGTAAGAATGGGAGAAGGTATGAAAGATGGATGTAGCTGGGAAGGCCATAATGAGGATACCACTAAGAATGCTGCTCAGGGCCACCATCTGGCCCGGAACGCTGCGAGGGACCATGTCCCCATAGCCCACCGTGGTCATGGAGATGATGGCCCACCAGTAGGAGGCGGGGATGCTGGTGAACTCTAGGACCCTTCCAGACTCATTCTCAGCCACATAGACTAAAGGGGAAAAGAGGGTGACCGCCACACCCAGGAAGAGCAGCAGAAGGCCAAACTCCCTGGCACAGCGGCGCACGGTGAGGCCCAGCGTCTGCAGCCCCAGTGAGTGGCGGGCCAGGCGCATCACATAGAGAATACGTAGTGCCCGCAAAACACGCAGTACCAACCCCACTTTCTCCAGGTAGGAGCTTCCACTCAGCCTCTCGCCTGCCTCCGAGGATTCCTCAGACACCACGAGAGACACATAGTATGGGGAGATGGCTAGAATGTCGATGACATTCAGGGGCCCGCGGAAGAACTGACATTTGTTCCGGGCCTGGGCAAAACGCAGACAGAACTCCAGGGAGAACCAGGCCACACATATGGTCTCCACCACGAAGATGTAGTAGCACTTTCTCGTGCATTCTCCCTGGGGTAAGAAGAGCCACAGAAGCAATGGGTTAGTCAGCTTCCCTCAAAACCTGACACCAAGGCACAGCAGTTCAAAGGAGGAAGGATTTATCTGGGCTCATGGTTTCAAAGAGACAGCCAGCCATGGTGGAGAAGATACCATGGTGGCTACATGGGGTGTGAGGAAATGGCTTCCCTCTGAAAAGTCTTTCTAGGTGTACTGTGTATGTACATGGGACAGCCAGAAAACAATTGGGGCTGTAATTCTTCAGGCTCTGTCCACCTTGTTTTATGGGATTTTTGTTCTTTTCTTTTGAGACAAGGTCTCTTATTGGCTGGGGCTTGCTAAGCAAGTTAGTCGGGCTAGCCAGCAAGCCCCAGGGATCTGCCTCTATCTTCTTCCCCAGTGCTGGGATTACAGGTGCATGCCATGACACCCAGCTTTTAAATGTGATTCCAATACTTTGACTCAGGTCCTTGTGCTTGCAAGTCAAACACCTAACCAACCAAGCCATCTTCCCAGGTCCTAGAGCAGTGGTTCTCAACCTTCCTAATGCTGTGACCCCTTAATACAGTTCCTCATGCTGTGGTGACCCCCTCAAACATAGAGTTATTTTTGTTGCTACTTCACAACTGCAATAGAAGACCAACACCCTAGGGGAGAATGAAACATGTATGTGGAGTGGAAGCTGCCAGCTCACTTAGCTCCCTCACTGGGGGACTGATACACAAGAGAGAAACCAGCTTGGGTTTTGTTTAAGGCTACCTGTCCTGAAGAGTGGAGTGGTGGTGGCGCACACCTTTAATCTGAGCACTTGGGAGGCAGAGGCAGGGGGGTCTCTGTGAGTTCGAGACCAGCTTAGTCTACAAGAGCTAGTTCCAGGATAGGCTCCAAAGCTACACAGGTAAACCCTGTCTCGGTGGGGGGTAGGGGTGGGGAGGGAGCTACATGTCCTGGGCCTGCTGATTATAGCAGTCAACCTTCACTTTCACTGACATGAGCTTTGCTTACACATTATACAGCTCTGGTGCTGTCCTGTAAGCCACACAGCTATGTTGTGGACAGAGGGTATGGCCACATCTTACACTCCAAGGACTGGGTCACTGTCGTGTGTTCACTACCTATAGACGGTCCTGTCCCATCCCACCCCAGGTCTCTTAGTCACTATTTATTGATTGCCTTGTCATGTCTTTATCCACCACTGCAATTCCTTCATTCTACAAAATGGACTAAAGCCCACTTGAGCTAGGCTCTGGGCTGGACAAGCAGACATGGTTCTGGAGGCAGAAATTTGCTGGACAGAGGGTCCCGAGGCTGCAGTCTAGCCTTTAAAAGGTGTGATCACAACCCTTTGTCCAGCTGCTCTCTCCTGGCCACAAGGGTTACCCACCTCTGGCTCCTGGCTCCTGGCTCCTGGCTCCTGGCTCCTGGTATACCTCAGCCTTCCCTTGCTCCTTAGCATGGTCCTTAGCCAAAACCCCACCTAACCCCCACCCCTACCAGATATATAATCTGCAATTTAACAAGATCCTGCTGGATGTATACCCTCAACCTTGACTGAATGTCAGACCACATAGGTAGCCACAAAAAAAACCTCACCCTCAAGACTGCCCCTAGAGACTCTAATTTAGTTGACATAGGTTTTTAGCTTGAGTAGTAGAATTTTCCAGAAGCACATGGATGAGTCTAATGTTGGGAACTTGGCTCTGAACATTTTACGTGTGTGTGTGTGTGTGTGTGTGTGTGCGCGCGCGTGCGCGCGCGCGCGTGCGCGCGCGCGCCTGGGTGCATAAACATGAACTCACACATGCATATACATATATACACATACTGTCAAGCACACACATGCTCATAAAATGCCCTGGAAAACAAGCAAATATATGACAGATCCATATGCTTGTGGACAAAGCAAAATATTGACAACTGTGGGGTTTGTATTTAAATGCTCTGAAGTGAAAAAAGAAGTTGCTTCCAGTGTCCAAGCCCAGAGGAATCCTAAATTGAAATGTTTTTGTCTGTCTATCAGAAAAAAAGAAAATGGCCAGACCACCTCAAGTTGTGTTGGCCTGCCCAAGACTAGGAAGCTTTCTCACTGACTTCTGTCTGGTCCCTTCCAGGGTTGGAGCAAAAGGATGTCATTGAGATGAAGCCCTGAGTGTGCCTGGCCCAGGGTCATATCCCAATCAACACTCTCTCTCACTCAGGAAGTTACTGGTCCTTCCTAGACTTCCAGGGTTCATTGCCCTAGGGGACTGCTGTAAAGGATGGAACAAGGTCTATAGCAGCTATGAGGATTCTGAACCCAGTAGATACACATGAGACACACTGTCACAGATGCTGCCCTGCTTGGTTGGCAGGAGGTTAGCATTCTATAGGAAGTAGAAAAACATTTTCCAACCCACTGAGAGGGCTTCCTCAGAAGTTTGCATCAGCACCCTGGATGACTTCAGAGCTTTGGGTCTGGATTCTTCAGGCATTCTACAAACTTGCTGTGCAATCTGCAAGTGGTCCCTATCTATATCTGGGCTCCAGTTTTGATGAAAAGGTTGAAACACAACCAGAATTCCCCAAAGTGCCAGCTACAAATACAGATTCTTGGGTCTATCACAAACCCAAAGTCTTAGCCCCAAGCTCAGGCATGGGATCTTGGGGGATCACCCCTTCATTTTGGAGCCCCCAGAAGACCTAGACTCTGAGCTGCTTTTCCTACAAGGCCTGTTTCTTGCTACTATCTAGGAATTTTCCTTGGTTTTAGAGAGTCTTGAGACCGGGGAACACCATCTCCAGATCAGTGACCAGCAACTGGAGAGGGTGACTCTGGAGGGCCCAGGAGGCCCCAGCAGCCTGAGCTTCTGTCTCTAGTGCTGGTGTTTGGCTATTCAAGCCATGTACACCCTGTCCTCACTCCCCTGGTCTGGTCTGGGCTGCCGGCCTCCCTGCACTGCAGCAGACTGGCTCTGCCTAGTCACTCCACCTGCATCCTGCTCTGCCCTGCATCCTAACCAGCCTGGAGCTGGCGTCTCTGCAGCCATGCTGGGACACAGAGATGGATGTAGGGGCTCCAGCTGAAGATGTGATGTCCAATCCAGTCCTGCCAATATTTGAAGGACAGGGAGAAGAATGAAAAAACAAAAAGCACTTTCTGAGGAAGACTCCCACCACTGGAGATGGGGTACTTTGGTCCACACTATTATCATCTTTCTGGATTGGGGCAAAGAAAAATCTGGTTTGAGAATTGCCCCTAATCTCAGAGAGAGAGGGGGAATTAGCCTCTGTGCAGGGTGCCTTGTCTCTGGTGGTCTTGAGGGAAGCACAGCACATTCCTGAAGACAAAGTGAGCCAGGCCTGAGGAATGAAAGGACCACACAGGCATGTAGGGCCAAGCAAGCCAGAGGTCAGACAGCAACACTGGGGACAAGATGAGGCTCTCCTCCAGGACTCTAACCATCAAATCAGCAGCTCAGGGAAGCCTGGGTTGGCTGGGAAGGGCCCAGGGGAACTCTTTGGGTGAGGGAAATATTCTAGATTGACGGGTGAGTTGGTTGTAGGGTTGTGTAGTTTTGTTTTTGTTTTTTAAGACGTTCAACATGAAAACTGTGATTAAAAGAAGAATGAGGGCTGGCAAGATGGTTCAGTGGGTTAAAGCTCTTGCTGCCAAGCCAAGCTTGATAACCTGCCTGGACTCACATGGTGGAAAGGGGAAAAACTGCTCCAGAAAGTTGTCCTCTGACACACACACACACACACACCCCTACCTGCTGGACTGGGTTTCAGGGAACTGGGATTTAGGGAACAACCTGGCAGTTCCTCCAGGGGTTAAACTCACACTCAAGATTCAGCAAGGTCACACCTATATTATGTACACACCCAAGAGGACTAAAAATACACACAGAGAAACGGACACAGCATTCCATATTCTCTCTGTAGCTAAAGATGACCTTGAACTTCTGATCCTCCTGTCTCCACCTCCCTGGGGCTGGGATTATAGGTGTGTGGCACCACACCAGGTTTATACACTGCTAGGATCAAAGCTCCGTGCAGGCTGGGCAAGCACTCTACCAACTGAGCTCCAGCCCCTGGCCAAAAAGTGGAAACAGTACAAAGGTCATCAATCAGTCTACCAATGAATCAGCAAGCACAGCCAAATGGCAGCTGTGACAAGGCAGAGGAATCTGGGTTTCCATAGGTCACATCTCCAGGGTCTGAGTTCCTCAGAGTGTCATTAAATCACCATGCCCTATGCCTCTCCTTAGGATAAGCTGGCCAGCCTTAACAGCTGGCTGGCTAAATAGAGCCACTCTCTGCCTGCCTGCTGTCCCCTGAGGACAAATAAGAAATACAAGGCATGTACTAGAGAGAACACTCGCTTTTTATGTAAATGTTGGAGACACTGTCTTGAAAGAACAAAGATCCTAAGATTGTCTGGCCTCAGCCTCCCTGGCTCTCTGAATTACAATCCCCAATAAGAGCATAGACCCTCCATAGGCCATGACCCTCGGGATGTGTTAGGGCAGCCTGTACATAGGCGGCTCCACCAGAGAGTAAGCCCAAGGACACTGTGGCTGCCTCTGGACATGAATGCCTCTTATCCCATGGGACACAGCTGCCAATTTCTCAGGGACAGCTCTGGGATGCCCAGGACTGCAAACTGGTGACCTGCCCCTAATTTGATTTCTGCAGTAATGTTAAGCCTAGCCTGGGTTTGCACTCTGTAATTTTCAAATCATTAGGCCCGAAATGCCCTCACCACTCTGCACAGGGAAACTCCTGGCTCCTTACACTGTCTTCTCTCCCGAAGCGGGAGGACACATTTGTGGAGACCAGGTGTGATGCTTTAGCAGCTACAACCCAGTGCCCTTGACCTAGGTAAGGACACTGTTTACTCTGCCCTAATCTTCGGAAGTAAAACCCACATTATTCCCGTGGGCAAGCAGGTGTTTCCACTGCATGTTCTGAGCTAAAGACTGGTGAGGTTAAAGGGTGCTCCTGATTGCAACTACAGGCTCAAGGTAGGGGTCTGCTGTTCAAAAGACTGAGGATTTGAGTGTTATAGATCTTTTTCTTTTGGAAAAAAAAAACATTGGTCAGTCAGATAAAAAACATTTTGTTCAACAAATATTTATGGAGAACTTATCATGTGTAAGGCATATGCTGGTTCTCTAACTGGAATGTTCTCTGGCGCTATAAATCTGCAAGGAAGCAATGTGTGTTTGTGTGTGTGTGTGTATACATGTGTGTGCATGTGATGTGAGTACACGTGTTTGTGTCCGTTTTAAATCTGCCTCCTTTGTCTATTATAATCTCATATAGGTGAAGGGTCAAGTGATAAGAGAGCCGAAGGGTAAAGTTGGAGAGAAGCAATGTTCTCCCTTAGGAAACTGTCTATTTCTAATTTCAAGCTCTCTTCAGCCATCTTCCTAACAAATGCAGGCTCCTATTTCATTTTTGAGACTCTTCTAGTTAGCTTCAGCTGTCAACTCTACAAAGCCAAGAAACTCTTAGAGTCTCAATTGAGGAACTGTCTTGATTAGATTGACCTGTTGGCATGCTAATCTATGTAGGAGGGTCCAGCCTAGTGTGGGTGGCACCATCCCTAGACAGGGGGCCCTGGCTGTGTAAGAAAGCTGGTTGAGCAGTAGCCAGCCAGTAAGTAGCCGCCCTCCTCCTCCTCCTCCTTCTCCTCCTCCTCCTCTTCCTTCTCCTCCTCCTCTTCCTTCTCCTCCTCCTCCTCCTTCTCTGTGGTTTCTGCTTCAGATTCCTGCTCAGGTTTCTGCTCCGACTTCCCTCACTGATGGACTGAGATCTGGAAGGGGGCACCAAGCAAACCCTTTCGTCTCTAACTTGTGTTTGATCAGGATGTTTATTCCAGCAACAGAAAGCAAACTAGGATACAGACCATCTGGTTCCTAGGGTCCTTGATGTCACACAGCTCTTTGCAAAGAGAAGGTAGGAGTGCACAGGTGTTGTGGCATATTAGTTTAAGATGTGTTAAATTTGTTCATGCTGTGGAGCTTTTGTTTAATGATGCAAAGATGTGTTGCATTCTATTATGTTGTATTTGTTTAACTCTGTAAAGCAGTGTTACTTCGCCTGTCTAAAACACCTGATTGGTCTAACAAAGAGCTGAATGGCTAATAGGTAGGTAGGAGAGGGCTATGTAGGGCTTCCAGACAGAGCGAATAAATAGGAGACAGGAGAAAGATAAAGTGAGGAAGACACCAGGGGCCAGCCACCCAGCCACACTACCAGCCACAAAATTAAAAAAAAAAAAAGGAATATAGATCAGAAAATGGTAGCGGGGCATTGGTGGCACATGCCTTTAATCCCGGCACTCAGGAGGCAGAGGCAGGAATGACAGTTGCCCTGTCCTCAGAGTGAGTGCCAGGAAAGGCTCCCAAGCCACACAGAGAAACACTGTCTTGAAAAAAAAAAAAAAGAAAAGAGAAAAAAAGAAAAAGGTAAAAACCTAGAGGCAAAAGGTAGACAGGGTAATTTAAGAAAAGCTGGCTAGCAGTAAGCTAAGTTAAGAATAAGTCTCCAGGTATTTATTTGGGAGCTGGGTGGCAGGCCCCACAAAGAGTAAAAAACCACACACTGGTAGAATGTTTCCTCTGGGTCAAGGTCATTTTAGGACTACCAGGGCCCAGGCTCTAACCCCCAACAAGCCCAGCAACACTAGGGGAAAAGGCTTAAGCCTGGTGCCAGCTCTAGGAGGAGCTTATCTCCTGCAGAAAAATTCACATGCAGATCTCTCCAGCCCTCCACTTAATTCTCAGACCAGTGAGATGGCTCCTTGGGTAAAACAGTGGGTAAAAGTGCTTGCTGCCAAGCCTGACAAGCTGAGCAAGGCCTGATGACCCAGGCCCCTCATGGTGGAAGAAGAGAACTGACTCTTGCAAGTTGTCATCTGACTTCCACATGCATGTCCTCTAGATCACATGTATGCTGAGGCATGTGAACGTGAACATACCCACCTCAAAATGATAGTAACAATGTAATTCAAATGCAAACTTCACATCAGAACCCGAAGATGGACTTGGGGACCACTGACTCCTCTATTTCTCTTCCCACAATGTGGCCACATTGATTAATCACCTCTCTGTTTTCACTCTAGTTTAATTAGTCCATTGAGCACAGGTGGCCAAGCCTAGCTTATTGGAGCTGCCGAGCTCAGTCTCTGAGTTCTCCTCTAGCTACACTAAGACTTTGGGGGAGGTAGCAACCAGAAAAAGAAGGGCCAAGTGTTTCTGCTATAATCTGTGCCTCAGTTTAGAGTCAGGGGAAATACATTTGCATTGTTGAGTCTCCATCTGGAGTAGGGTTGACTTGTGTGCAGGGATGTGGGTTCTCAGCCAATAATTAGCATGACAGTCACTCAATAAACAGGTGAGCCTTCAGAGAAATGTCTCCCATTTTACTGAGGAGGTAACTGAGGAGCAGTGAGAACTAGTACTTGCCACCCCATCACAGGAACTGGAAAGTGGATGATGGGTCTTCCCACCATCCCAAACCAGACATGACTTTGCCAATATCCAGGGCTCCCTACCCGAGTCAGGAACACATAATAATGATTTTAAGGGCCCCATTCCTACAATAAAGATGAAAATGTTATAGCCCTGGCTGGGGTGTCTAAAAATGAATATAATCCATATAGGATAGTGTTCATATTCTACTTATTTAAACGAGGACATTTAGCTGGGTGTAGTGACACATGTTTGTTATCCCAGCACTCAGGAGGTGGTTGCAGGAGGATCAGGAATTTGAGGCTAGCCTTGGCTGGATAGAGATCTCTAGACCAACTTGGGCTGCATGAGACCCTATCTTAAAACAATGAAAAGGAGCTGCCACTATAGCTCAGTGTTTAGAGAACTTACCTAGCAAGCAAGAGCCCTGGGGTTCAATTCCCAGCACTACATAAAACAGGGTTTGGTGGTGCACACTTGTAATCCCAACATTCATGCAGTATAGGCAGAAAGATGAGAGGTTTAAGGCCTCCTTGAGAAAGTTGAGGCCAGCCTGGGCTACATGAGACCTTGTCTCAAAAAAAAAAAAAAAGAGAAAAAGAAAACTATTTCCATGGTTTCCTAAGTGTCCCTGGGCTACCCCATAGTCCCTGATGGGCAACCACTCACCTTGTCCTCCTCAGCCCTGAAGTCGGGCATGGTGCTCACACACAGACTAACAGCGGTGGTGGCCACGAAGAGAATGGAGAGGCAGGCAAAGACTTTCCCGGGCAGCCCTGACTGTGGGTCTTCCACCATCTCGCGCAGCTGGTTCATGCCGCGGGCCCATCGCGAAGTGTGCACTTCGGAGTGGCAGGCCTGGCGCTGCTGCTGTCGCTGCACAGCCTCCTCCCGGCGCAGCTCGGCCACCTCCTCCAGCTTCTTCATGAGCTTGCGAAGGCAGCAGCGTTCCAAGTTGGCTTCCTCGATGCCCCAGTAGCTCAGCTCCTCCCGGAAGGACAGTGCACACATCTCCCGCAGAAGCACCAGCTTTCCCGCAGCCAGGAAGCTCACAATTACCCCGAAGGCGCTGGGGCTCCTGTCAAAGAAGAACTCCTGGTTGTTCTCATCATAGTCATCACAGAGCTGTGTGATCTCCTCATAGCTGCGACACAGCCGGAGCCTGCTCAGGCGGCTCAGCGGGAAGGCATCCAGGGTGCTCCAGGGCAGCAGGTATCGCCGGCCACCGACATTCACCAGAATCTCCTTCTTCAGGTCAGCCTCTGGAGAGGCATCCAGGGTGCCCACCTTCCGGGCCCTGCTGTAGTAAAGGCCCTTGACTGACGGAGGCTCTGGACCAGGCCAGAGCTGGCTCAAAGGGCTGCAGGAGCCAAAGTGATGGTGTCCAGGAGGCAGGTCTCTGGAAGACATGGGCATTGCCTCAGACTGTGGGGCCGGGAAGCAGTGGGTTCACCTGTCTGCCTCCAAGGGAAGAACAAGAGAAAGAAGGGAAGAAGAGTCTCAGCAGCACAAACATTGTTGCATTTGTGTATCGTAGCTGCAGCTGCTTCGGCCATCTCGGAACCCTCATTTACTTCTTGTTTATCTAGCTGCTACTATATGCTTGGGCTATGCCATTGGACACATCCCTACCCCTGTCAAAGCATGTACATCTCTGACACAGATGTGCTACCCACTGCACTAAGGAGGTACTTAATGTACATCTCTGTCTCTCTGACACAGACGTTTTGTGAATGGCAATGTAATGGGTCCTGAATTGTGCCATCCCAGACTGTGTGGTCCTGAGCATTTGGCTTCCCCTCTCTCTTCTTGAATGATAAGGCTTGTGTCAACCCTGCAGTGGGGCCCTGTGTGGCCGTGTTCTTTGTAGAGAACCACAAGAGGAGTGACTCAGTCTCTCTGGACCCTCTGCTTGGTCTGTGTGAGTGGGGAAGCCTGAGTTCTCACACTGTTGCGCACAGGACCGGGTCAGGGAGCAAAACCCATGCAGCACCCTTAATGATCATTTCTAGGAGCTCTGGTGCACCCAGTTCCTTTGATGGACTCATGCCAACCATCCCATGAGGCAAACAGGCACAGCTCACCTTTGCAGGTGGGGAAACTGAGGACCAGCATCTTGCCCATTGTTTAGCAAATACAGTTCAGTAAGGCTCAATGAGGTTCAGCCACCAAATGCTGGGGACCACGACAGCTTTGCAAGGCACCTGACTCTCAGGAGCTCCCCACAAAAGTTTCACTCCCTGGTTTTCTCTCTCATTCAAAGCACCCTGCTGTGAGGATGGAGGACACCTCCCACTTTGGACAACTCTTTCTTACTCAGACATGCATTTTGTTTGCCTCAGCCACCCTTGCTATGTGACCTTGAAGTGGTTACTCCCCTCACTGGGTTGTAGTAGTTTTTTTTTTTTTCTTTCTGCAGAGCAAAGAGCCTTCTAACGCTCTCTACATAGCAGACCTATTGAGGGGCTTTGCTTAAGACAAGCATTTTGATTTTAGCTCGCTCACATATTTTTAAAAATTATTTCTGTAATACGTCTCAACCTCCCTATTGTGTGGCCATTTCTTCTGCTATTCATTCCAGCCAGAGCTGTCTCCAGGCACCTATAACCTTACATTGAGAGAGGCACTCCAATCAGGAGCCAGTAGAAATAAAAGTGTCTTTCAATTCCAGAGCCTGCTGGATTCTGGCGGACAGTGAAGAGCAATCAGGGCCCGTGTTTCACACTTGTGCCGCAGTGCACTCTTATTTTGCATGCGTTACTTGGTTCACAGCACACAGCCAGTGGGAGGAGTACAGCCTGCAAAGAGAGGAGTGTGTTGAAATCCAGGGAGTTCTTTCCAAGCTTTCTCAATTTCCAGAGCAAAAATTAAGACCTAGAGTGCTGAAGGGACTCATCCAAGGTCACACAGCAAATCTGAATCCAACCCAAGACTCGGCTTCCCGGCCTGGGGTTCTGTCCAGAGCCGGAATCTTGCTCCATCTCCTTCCACTGAACAGATCTGATTTTGCAGTCTTTGCTCTCCCTAATAGCTGGCCAGCAAAACTCCTCCAGAACCTGGGGGAAGCAATTCACTTCAAACATCCCTTCTGCCAAGCTGTTTAGCCCAGTCACTGCTCTAGAACATCCCACCCCAGAACAAACAAGTTCCTCCGAAGTTCAACTCACCGCTTGTCTTAGGAAGTATGTTCCCAGCCAGTTCTCTGCCAGGCATGGGGAGCCCATGTCTCAGTGACCGGGAAAGAGACAGTTTTGTGTCAGAGAGTTGGGGGGTTAAAAAAAAATCACAAACCAAAACCAACTCCCAACATACATCCCTGGCAGTCAGTGTCCAGTCCTTTTCTGGCCTCCTCTAAAGAGCAGAAGTTTGTTCATTCTGAATCTGCAGAAGAGCAGGGGTACAAAGTGCCTTTCTAGAAGGACCCTGAAGTCCTCCTTCCTCCTGAGAGCTGAAGGTCTGGATGCTGCAGGGAGCTTGGCCAGCTGTCCTGTCTCAGCGGCCGACTTGGTGCTCCAAGTCCCATAGGGACAGCCAGCATAGTCCATGCCCGGGGTGGGGGGGTGGAGGTGCTGACGGGAAGGGCTTAGGATTAATCTCTCCATCAGCCAGGCAGCAGGCGGGAGCTGCGGCTGCTCTGCCAACCACCCGGGAGGCAAGGAGAATGTCTGTCCTCTCTCCTCTGTGAGGAGGAGCTGAGCTCTGGAGGAGCTAGGGCAGTTAGGGACCTGGGGACCAGGCTGTTGCAACCTCATGGTACACTAAGGTGGGGAGATGCCTCAGTAAGGGTTGCAGAGAAGTTTTCGGGCTGGGACAGACCAACCCAGCCTCAGAGCCTAGGGTGGGTATTGGGGAGACTGCATAACAAGTTAGGAACGGAGAGGCTTGGAGCCAGATTCCAGCCTCCAATGTGAGTACCCTTAGGCAGGTGAGTTAGTGCCTTCCTACTCAGTTTCCTTATCTGCAAAAGTTATATAAGTGGGAGGGGGGACACAAGGGGGTGAGGGCTTCCAGGATAAAATCCATAAGCTTCACCTGTGAGTTTGGCCCTGAGTGTAGGTGAGGAGACGCCACAAGAGAGTTTCTTGCTGTGTGTCCTTGGTGAGTCACTTCACCTCTCTGGGCCTCGGTTTCCTTAAATGAGGACAGTGGGAGCTGCAAAATTGCAAAAGCATGATAATGTAGGGCTTGCTGTCCCTAGGTCCTTCATTTTCTTCAAAGGTTTTGCAGCCAAGTGACCTTCATGACTCCTTTCTGTCTCTGGGGACCCCAGAGGCTTGTTCAAGGTCACCATGCTAATTAGCAGCTGTACCAGGTTAGGATCATCACTGAATTCAGACCGGATCTGATGTGGGGTTCCAGGAGCAAGGAGGATCAGAGCCTGGCTGTCCTCAGTTCTCTAAAAGGAACAACTGAAGTTACCTGTGGCCTGGCAGAAGGGTGGAGGAACAAAAGCAGGAGAGAGAAGCTGGCAGGGGGCAGGGTTCTCAAAGGGTATTATGGGAACCCCAGGGCTCTGTAGAAATGCTGAGGGGCCTGGACTATGGCAGAGCAAGAACTGGAGACTCCAGCCTGTTTTCTCTGCCTTCCCACCAGGGTCACTGCTGGGGCCCAAGGCAGAGACCTAGCATCTTTATGAGGGGTGCCAAGGCTCTCTGTCCCTTCTTTGATTCTCTAGCTCCTCTAAGCCAGGCTCCAGAATTCTCTCTCCCTGGAGCGGGCTTTCTGCTCTCCATCTGATTTAGTCCTGTCTTAGTCAGGGTTACTATTGCTGTGATATAACACCATGACCAAAAGCCACTTGGGAAGGAACGGGTTTATTTGACTTACATATCCTGAGTAAGAGTACACTGAAGGAAGCCAAGGCAGGAATTCAAACAGGGCAGGAGCCTGGAGGCCGGAACTGATGCAGAGCTCATGGAGAGCCAGTCTTTTGTTGTTTGTTTTTTTGACACAGGGTTTCTCTGTGTATTCCTGACTGTCCTGGAACTCACACCGTAGATCAGGCTGGCCTTGAACTCACAGAGATCCGCCTGCCTCTGCCTCCCAAGTGCTGGGATTAAAGGCATGTGCCACCACCAACTAGCCCAGAGGAGTGCTATTTGTTGATTTCTCCCTCATGACTTGCTCAGCCTGCTTTCTTTCTTTTTCTTTCTTTCTTTCTTTCTTTCTTTCTTTCTTTCTTTCTTTCTTTCTTTCTTTCTTTTTTTGTTTTTGTTTTTTGTTTTTTGTTTTTTTTGAGACAGAGTTTCTCTGTGGCTTTGGAGGCACCCCACCCCCCTTTCCACCCCACCAATGCCCGGCTCAGCCTGCTTTCTTATAAAACCTAGGACCACTAGTTCTAGGTAGGGGGCCCTCCTCCATCAATCACTAATTAAGAAAATGCCCTACAGGCTTGCCTGCAGCCAGATGTTATAGAGGTTTTTTTCTCAATTGATGCCCCCTCCTCTCAGGTGACTAGCTTGTGTCAAGTTGACATAAAAACTAGCCAGCACAAGTCTGTTAGGTTAACCACTCTACCCAGACCATCTTCCTCTCTTAGTTCTCTCTGGACAGGCAAGGTCCGGATGCCAATCTAGAATCACATTTCAGGGCTCTGTCAGGAAAGGGCTTGCTGCACAAGTTTGCAGATCTGAACTTGATCCCTTCAAACCCACATGGTAATAAATACATGCCTGTTATCCCCGTGTTGGGGAGGCAGAGACATCGGGGTCCCTGAGTCTTGTTGGCCAGCCAGCCTGACTTACTTGGGGAGTTCCAGGCTAGTGAGAAGACTTGGTGGAGGTGGCCCATGGGGTTCTCCCCTCAAGGTTAGGATTAGATTCTGCCCTGACTGTCCAGCAAGGCCTGCTATGCCACAGCTATATGACCCCCAGGCAGGTTTTCTTTCTTTTCTGTGTATCAGGGTAGCTGGGTGACCTGACTTTTGAGCTCCATGGCCTTTGTGAGTAGTGATTGAATTATTTGTCACAGTACAGAGCACAGTGCCTGGCATGCCCCCATACAGGAGCATGGCCCGTTTTCTCTCTTAGCATTGTCCCCGTCTCTTCCTACAGTAGTGCAAGCATTGCTAACAGAGCATGAGCATACAGGGGCACCCAGGCTAAAACTGCTGTTGATCCATGGTATGTGATGCACTGATAATGGCTAGCTTTGTAGGGAGAAAACTTCCTCAAATATGGTGCTTGCCAGTTACTATAGTACAAAAACTCTGGCCACTATCAAGTGGACCGCATTGTTCTGTGGAGGGCTAGGGAGGCAGGTGAAGGATAGACACTTGCACCGCTGTGCTAATGGGTTCTGGGATATCACTGAACTTGTGGCTTTCCAGCATCGATAAGGAAAGGCTTCCCAAGGCAGGATTCTTAATTAAACCCTGACTGAGCTCTCAAGCCTTCACTGTGTACTCCTATCACAGG